GACTGTTTTCCTCCCTTTTTTATACACAGGTGTGGCTTTTTATTGTACTTCTTGGTCATGAAATTTTACTATCATTCTTGGTCTTGAGTATGGTATGTGTGTGTGGGGGTTATGTACTAATATAGATATTAGTACATAGACTGCAAAATAAAGATATAGACTACAAAAACACATATAAAACACATAAATACTAAATATATACATACATGTATAGATATATAAGATGATGAATATATATGTATATACAATATATAGTCATTCTTCAGTATCCTTGGAGGAGTAACTCCAGGATCCCAAACCCCAGCTGATACCAAAATCCATGGATGCTCAAGTTCATTATAAAAATGATGCAGTATTTGCATATAACTTGTGCACATCTTCCTATATACTCTAAATCATCTCTACGTTACTTACAATCTCTCATACAATGTAAATGCTATATAAATAGCTGTTATGGTTTTTTTATTTGTATCATCTGTACTGTTGTATATTTTCTTCTTGAATGTTTTCAATCTGCCATTAGTTGACTCAATTAATGCAAAAGTGCTGAAAAAATAGGGCCAACTGTATACATACACATCATGCCAGGAATTACTGTGAAAGTTCCTATAGACTGAAAAGCATAGTGAATGTCACATTTGGGACACAATTCACGGCTGTCAAAGGTAACAGATAGTTTCATCGGTGGTCAGTGAGAGGAGCACAGTATGTGGCGGCCCTCAAACGGTCTGAGGGACAGTGAACTGGCCCCCTGTGTAAAAAGTTTGGGGACGCCTGCTCTACAGTCTTTGACTGGGGTGGGAAAACTATCCTAAAGGTCTTCTAATTTATTCCCCTCTTACGTTCCATTCAGGAATACAGCAATAAGGGCTTCCTGCTGCTACTTCTGCACCAGATAGCAAATCTGTTTAGAGCAGTCTAATTATTACACTAATAAATATTCAAAAATGTAGACCATGAGAGAAGTAACAAAAGAAAAGCATGACTTTAAGCTGAAAAAAAAAAAATGACAGGAAAAAAGAAATTCTGCTCATACTAGAGCAGAATTCTTTGGGTGAGTATCCTGTAATCTACTGCTGACCGAAACAAATTTTTATGGAGCAATAAGACTACTCAAGTAGCCACTTTATGACAATAAACACCCAAAACAGAAAAATCCTTTTGTAACATAATTACTGACAATATAGACAGAAAGTAACCATTTAATCCACAGCATTTGTTCTCTACCACAAGAACTCAATAGCTGACATCAGATGGGGTGTGGCTGACCTAGGCCCCAAAAGTGAATTCTGGCCGGTGGAAGTCAGACAGCTCTGGGCTGGGCTTGGGATTCAGAAACTAAGCAGGTCTAACAAAGACTAAGACTGTTGACCTTCTGGGCATAGGGCAAGGCCCATCTGTTTACTTGCTTGCTTTTGGGAGGAGTGGTTGTGGTAGATGAGTTAAGGCTGTGGTTATAGGGTGTTGCCTGTGATTTAATTTTAATATTTTTACTCTTACATTTTGTAAACAGGTAAAAGTTGAAAGCTCTGTATAAATTGCACACTGAAAAACAAATAAGTTTGAGTTTGAAAGGAAAAATAAATCCTGGACAAAAAAATAAGCTATTTCCAGTCTATGATCATATAGTATTTTCAAGTAGAAAATGACAGATAAGCAGCTACAACCTATTTCAGGACTTATTTTAAAAATTAAAGTTGTAGCCAGTGCAGTCAGTGGCTGATGTCTACAATCCCAGCACTTTAGCAGGAGGTTTGCTTGAGACCAGGAATTCAAGAGACAGGCTGGACAACACAGTGAGATCCCTCCTGCCTACTTGGGAGGCTAAGGCTGGAGGATCCCTCGAGCCCAGGAATTTGAGCTATGATTATGCCACTGCAGTTCCATCTGAGTGACAGAGACCCCATCTCCAAAAAAAAAAAAATCTGTTTTCTAAACAGAAAAGGTAATAATGGTGTTGATTTTGAATAAAACTGTCTTGGGATTTTAGCTCATGTTCATTAATCAACATTCAAGCAGCAAGTGGAAAAACCTATTTAAAAAAACTTCAAATAAGTTTGTGCCATTACTGGTTTTATACTTTAATACACAATCTACAGCTAGATTTATGAACTTGACTGTTTTCTCACAATATAAACACTCCAATTTAATGTGCTCATTGTAATATTATTAATTTGCAAAAACATAAAGTTCTATGCTTTCCATGTTGTATGACGGAAAAAATGTCCAGGACCTTTACATGTTCATCTACTTAACAACATCCCTTCATTGGGCAAGGTTACTCCAAACCCTAGATTAACCAACACTGGCTTGAATTCAAAATGCTCTCAGCATAAACCTAGAGGCCTAAGCACTTAACGTTGTCTCTGCCAAGATAAAACACACCTATATTTAAGGCCAAATTATTTCACTAGGTTGATAACAGCCTGCTTCATGATATACTGTAACATCTAAAACTCACTGGAGCTTGTTAAAGTGCATAATTTCCCTGCACAGGAGGCAGAGAAAATATCCCTGAGCAACATGTATATTTCACATGACCAGAACACGATGGATATTATAGACCAGATGCATGCTCTTCAGAATGAACGTCAAGTATCCCGATTCCTTCTCCCCTTAGCCTGGGGAGAGTGAGTGCACTAGTGTTTGCATACCTTCCCTTTCAGCACACACATAGGCTGCAGCTGTAGTAAACAACCACCAGCCAAGAGTTGCTAAGGTCAAGGTCTCAAATGCTATACTAGGACCATTTCCTCCCAAATGACATTCATTTCTGAAAAAAGAACTTGGGTGGGGGTTGGGGAGTTGAGGAATATTAAGGACTCATTAACACAACAATTTTTTTTCAATAAATAGTAATAAAAAGCATTCTTCAATAAAGTTCAGCTGATTGCACTAAGTAGTAAATAACAGAAGGATTTAAAAAACAAACAGAAACCCTCAAGAATGTTTTGTTTAACCTGACCTAGCTATGTTGGTTACATGGTCTTACTTCAATAATTATGAAAATTTGATGTGAAAACATTTCAAATTTCAAATTCTTCCAGTACATTTCGTCACAGTCATTGGTAGAATAATAAACCTCTTTTTTAATTTTTTTATGCTCAAATTGCTCTCTCCTCAGATCAAAGGAGCTTAATATACTCAATCTAGTATCGAGACTGACCGGTCTGCAACAATAAAAATATAACTTATGCAACTGAAATGTTTGTCCTTCAACATCCTATTTCCACTATGCTTCTACAGTTTAAAATTTTCTAGCCTAAAAGTATACGCCTTTATCGGAACCAATTTCCATGTGGTTTTAAAAAATGTACACAATATGTGAATGAGGTCTGGGAATAGCACAAGCAAGCTTTTTTTTCTTGGGGGCCCTGGGTGGGAGGGGGTGTCCACTGTTTTAATTAAATGTCAGTTCTAAAAGCATTTCTTAGAAGACAGTATACACCCACTCCTCAAAGTGACCACTCCTATTCCCACCACAAGCTTCCTCTTGCTAAAAGCCACTAAATTTATGTCAAAGCATTTACTTATCTAAACAACTCTATCGTCCAGTAAGAAAAGGGCATGGAGGCGTCTAGGTGGTTTTGCAGAATGACGTGTATTTGATTGGCAGATGTCTAGCGAAGTCACCAGATGCACATGCACTAAATGTAAATAGAGTTGCTCGTCTCTCTGTTGTTACAAGGTAACCGAGAAAATCTTAACGCTAGTGAAAAATAAAATACCCGAGTGTTCGGCCGAGAATTCCATTAGCCAGTGGAATTATTTAAAACAATCCACACAGAACAACACTTACGCCATCTATACAGTTAAATTAGAGGGCTGACAATACTAACTACACAAACTGTTTATTCAGATTACACATTCTGTTGCATTAATACACTTTAACTCAACACAGTCATCTTTTATCAGCTGAATTAAGACTACACTATTAAAGTATGCAAAACTCGAAGCGCAGGGCGAAGGGGGTTGGGAAGCTGCAGGGCATATAACAAAGGAATTGGTACTTTTTCCAAGCATTTGCCTCAGATGCACTGCGAAACAAAACTGTTGAGTGCACCCCACCCTTTGCCCCAAAGATAAAAGTTTTCAAAGTTCTTGCAGGCAGCTCTCTAACCAACAAAAGTAGGATTGATTCTCCCCGTAGGGAAGCATCTAACGTGACATTAACTAATGTCGCGGAGGTCAAGTCCGAATCCTCAGAGTGAGCTTCTAAGGCAAGAAGTGGCTTCCAGGACGGCTCTGCGGGTTCCCGGCCCGGGTGGACGTGCAAAGTTGCCCCTTGTCAACTCCGACCAGGTCCCCCGTAATTGAAAATAACAACCACCGGCCAGCCCCCGGCTACTAGCATGGACCAGGCACTGTAGCAAGTGACAGTTACACATCATTACGACCAGAGACAATAATGAATGTAGCACCAGGAGCACTATTCATGCCAGCAGTGTCATCTCCGCCTTAACCCCTTCCCCTCCACTATCTCCAGCGCGCACACACAGCCCACACGGCCCCGGTGCGGCAGCTATTCATCTACCCCGCTAGAGGCCGGGGGGCCAACTACTTCCACGAGCACTCCCCCCTCCCCAGTTCAGCCCTGGGGTTTTATTTCTCATCCTTGGCAACTGTCAGGCAAACACTGCAACCAACAATTCCACTAGGGGTAGAAAAACATTTGCTTAATTCACGTTACTTGATAACTTCTTCTGGAAAAAAAAAAAAATAGGAGGGGGGGAAGAAACCTCCTCCTTTCTTCTCCACGAATCCGACGGACGCTACTTGCTTTGCAACAGCATCGCCCTTCCCCGGCCCCCTCCCGCTTCCCAGCACTTTCCCCCTTTAAGAACACAGACCAACCAAAATGATTTAACTTGAGCAGATGACAGAAGGAAAATAAAACACGTTAAGAGAATATGGTCTGATTTGGGATGGCAAAAAAAAAAAAAAAAAAAAAAAAAAGGAGGGGGTTGTTTATTTTGATAAGAAACGGAATCGGCACAGACCTGAACAGAAGCTGCAGAGCAGGAGAAATTGTTTTCTTTCCCTCACAGAGTCCCCCTCTCTCTCCCTTTCTCTCTCTCACACGCGCGCGCGCACACACACACACTCACTCGCACACACACGGCGTCACCCGCGCACACGCACACGCAGAGCCTCTCAGCGGCTCTCTGCAGTTCTCAGGAAATGAATGGGGGGCAACCCGGGGAACTGTTGTACTTGCAAATGACTTACCCGGATCACATGATGCGCTAAATGTAGGGTGGGCCGGTGGGTGGAGGCTGCCGAGACGCGAGCCCAGGTCTAGTGTGGGGAGCCTCGCCAGGCCCGCATCGAATTACCCCGGGGCCCAGCCGAGGGGGTTGCAGGACGCCGCTTCTCCTCCCTCGCAGCCCGCAGCTCAGGAAACCAGAGAGGCGCTTGGGGTGGGGTGGGGTGAGCTGCGGGTGGGGGGGGCCGAAAACAAGAAACCCCAAACAAAAGAGCTCCGGGTCCTTCTCCCCAGAAACAAAGCCCCGCCGCTGCGGGCGAGCCCCGGGGTGGGGCCGAGGGCGGGGGCGGCGGCGGGGAGGGGCTCGCTCAGCAGGCGCTAAGTCGCTTTATTGCCATAAAATGGGGCCCCCGAGCCGCTCCGCCCGAGGATTAGGAGGCGGGCTCTGAGTGTGATGGTTGAAATCCCCTGTGGGAAACTAACCCCTCCCCGCTCGCAGAGGTAGAAGGCAACACCCACTGCCCGGCCCTCGCCTCCCCGCGCGGGCCGCCGGGCTATGGGGTGGGTACGCGGCGCCTCCACCCCGCCCCACCCCGCCCCACCCCTGCCCCCGCCCACTGGTCCCGGGCCTCAGCGGAGCTTCCCTTTCACCTGCACCACCTCGCTGCGGCACCCCAAATAACCCACACATGGCCGTGGGAGCTCGGGGAGCCGCCGGCCGAGGGGGCCCGCGGGGGCTCGCGGCGGGAGGGACTCCCGGAGGGCAACTCGCCGGGCTAGGACTCGCGCCTAGCTGCGAGAAAGTCCCCTCTTTTGTGTTAGAGCGCGCCAAGCAGGCTTAGGAGGAGAATTCGGGGACCTAGAAGGCGCGCAGCCAGCTCCGGCCCCCGCCCCTCGCCGCTCCCGCCCGGGTGGGGGCGCGCAGTGCAGGGAGGGGGCCGGCGTCCCAGCCGTCCCCTTGGCTTGCCCGCCAGCGAACTTGGAAAGGTGTGGGCGGAGCCGGCCCGGGCGGCCGGCTGGGGCTGCGGGCTGCGGGGCCGCGCGCAGGGACCGCCCCCGGGCGCTGGGCATCGACCGCGCCGGGCAACAATGGGGTCGGGCCGGGGCAGCCCCGCAGGCGGTGCCCTCTGCGCGCCGGTGGGGCGGGTGGAGCAGGCGAGGGCCAAGCGCGGCCAGCAGGGGAGTCATTGTTTGGGTTCCGGAGCGACGCACGTTGCGGGCAAGGCGAGGGCGCCCCTTCTCCCTGCGCTTCACCTTGGCGGGATGAATGGGGGCGAGAGGGAGACGCGCGCTTGGCCTCGCCACCTCAGGAGAAGGGGCCCCTGCCCGTGCCACTTCTGCGGGAAAGAAAGAGGCAAACTTGCAGGACTGGGGCAGAGGAAGCGGGAGCTACAGACCCCAGCTGGGCCCAGGGGCGGCGGGGAAGGGGGTCCGGTGCCCTGAGCGGAGCCCAAAGAAGCGGGCGGCCCGGAGCCAGTCCTTGACGCTTTCCCCAGCAGCCCCTCCCTCCCCGCCTCCGCGCCCCGGGGAGCGGATCCGCTGGATTGTGGGGCGGGAGAAAGAGGAGGCGGCAGGGCAGCCCTTCAGTTCCCGCGGCGGCTTGGAGGGCGCGCGGTCTGTTCTGCGCCGGAGGGTCGGCGGGGGCGGAGAGCAGACTGGGCGGAAGCGGCCGGCGGGCTGGGGTGGGACGCTCCTGGCCAGCCTAGGTGAGCGCGGAGCTCCGGGGACCGCAAGACACCCCTGCCCCGCGCCCCCGCCCCGCGTGGGAAACCGCCGGGGTGGCGGAAAAGCCGGGAAGGGGAAGTTTGTGTGCGCAGAGAAAGCTCTGCTGTACTGTGGCGTGGAGTGGGGTGGGAAGAGAAACAAGGGAGAGACTGAGAAACAGGAAATGAGAGCGAAGGCACGAATGTGTGCCAGGGCCGGCCGGGCTCCCCATCGGTGTGGCAGTTTCCAGCCGCTCCAGGCCCGGTGTGCGTTCCTGTTCACAACAAAGGCGGCGTCTGCCTGGTGCATTCTCTGCCTTCAGCCACTCCTAGGATGTGAGGAAAATGGGAAGAGTGGTCCAGCCTAGAGAAGGAGTCCCAACAACCTAAGATGTGTCTTAGGGAGACAGCAGGATGTAGAGGAGGGGTCTGTCCTGGTCTTGAGGTTTCCAAGAACAAATGTCTGAAATTTGTGGAGCACTCCTGGAGCAAAGTAACCTTAGCGGCGGGAGTGTCTGGAGCCCAAGTGGGACTGGAGGGTAAGGGGTCGGTCGCCGGGGTGCGGTCTCCGTTCCAGGGAACGCAGCCCCAGCTCCCACTCTCTGATCCGATCCTGGGCAGAGGGTAAACAGCCCTTGACATTCCGCAACACCCGGATGGAAACAGCACGAAAAGACAAGTTTAAAAAGCAGTAGAATATCAGCAACTGCGCAGGATTTCAACGAGAAACTTGCCTCTGCTAGAATCACTGAAGTTTCCCTCTAGGTGGGGCAGGGAGAGGCAGGGAGTGAAGGAAGGGAGTTTTGCTGTAAGGGTGGAAGGATGCTGTAAGAAATTATGTCATCGTGGCAGTTCTTGTACTAACAGCTCTTTCTCGAGTGAGCTGAGTGGCGGACAGACCATAAATATATTCTATAGCGAGTGCTTCTGCACGTGGAAAAGCAAACTGCACTCCCTTCCTATGGCAACAGCCACGGGCATGTTAGGAGAGTGGTGAAAGACAGAAAATAAACTCCAAGAAACCATTCCAGAGGGATAAGGAATCTAGGGGTAGGTCAAGGTTAGTTCCTGGAGTCGGGAGAGCCTATGTGGTTAAAAGAAAAAGTACATCAAGCATTGGGAAAAAATGCTTGCAGATTTTAAAAATTGTTGACAGATATGGAGTAGAAATCTTACATTAAGCCAACTCCCTAGCTATGAAAAGGGAAAGGATAAAGAAGAGAAAAACAGGCTTAGAAAAGAGAATCACTTCGTGGTGTGGACTGGGGGTGGGTGTAGAAGAGCAAAAATATTGAAAGAATAAAAAGCATGGATGCTAACTGGAGCGAGGTCACTAGAGGGGTGTGTGTGTGTGTGTGTGTGTGTGTGTGTACACACAGGCATGCGTTTCTAACTCAGTTCATGTAATTCTATCTCTATGTAGAACTTGGATTTAAAGAAAACTAAGGTGTGGACAGAAAGGAAGAAGATAGGAAAAGTACACTACCTTTGCAAAGGTGCGCATTTTTAATTTAATATTTATACCTTTCTCCTCTCTGTGTTTGAAGAAAGTATAAAGATGGCAAAATTATTTCAGTCCTTAATTCAGGAGGACCATGTAAAAGAATGTGTAGGGAGAAAGTGCAGTCATAGAATCTGGGGCTTGAGAGTATCTGTCAAATCCAATACTATATGGCTTCAATTCTGTTTAAAACCAAGATGATTTTGGTAAAAATGATAACCCATTTCCCTAACTCTATATAAAAACTTCATTTACTTAGTCTTAGATAACTAAAAGAAGAATGAATTATAAACAAAGAAGGTTAGAAGAATGAATTATAAACAAAGAAGGTTAAGTTTGGTATTCTGAATTTTTTTTTTTCTTTTTTTTTTAGACAGAGCCTTTTTCTGTCACCCAGGCTGGAGTCCAGTGGCAAGATCTGGGCTCACTGCAACCTCCGCCTCCCCGGTTCAAGTAATTCTCCTGTCTCCACCTTCTGAGTAGCTGGAATTACAGGTACGTGCCACCAACTCCAGCTAATTTTTTTCTATTTTTAGTAGAGACAGGGTTTCGAGATGTTGATCAGGCTGGTCTTGAACTCCTGACCCAGGTGATCCACCTCGGCATTCCAAAGTGCTGGGATTACAGGTGTAAGTCACCTCACCCAGCCCTGAATTTCTTATGCGTAACACATGCATTGGATTTCTTTTACCTGACACATTGTCCAAAAAAGCACAACCAAACACCCTCAAAGCAGGTAAAATATCTAATTCAAACAACAGAAAAATTTACAACTAGAAATAATGTTGTTACTATAAAAGTAAATGGTACCTGCCCACATACTTTTTGTCAGATCTTATATTCAACTAGTGGTGATACTATCTTTGAAAATTAGTGGTTAGAAAAATCTTATATAGTATTAACAGCATTACCTGTACCACATCCAGATTTCTCTAAGGTAAAAACTCTGTTCAATATCTGTGTACATTTAGAGATTGTAAGGCTTTGGGTTAGTGAAACCATACATGATTTAGCACTGATATTATTTCAAGAAAGAGGGTAGGAGTGAAGTCCATTTCAGAAGTAAAAGCTATGTTGAAAGATTCTATTTAACTAGAAATAAAAATAAAGCTGATTTCCAGAACTCTGAGCAAGTTTTAAAACACAATCTTGATTTTTTTTCCTGAGGCCCAAAGTGAACATGTACTGTTAGGTTTTCAATGCCTATATTTTTCATGTGTCATATCTTGGCAATAATGTGCAGCAAAGGGAAATTTTCTCATTCAAGTATCAGAAACTGAGAAAGACATGTAAAAGCCTTACTATAACTGCAAACAGTTGGTGATATTATGTGATTACTTGGTAAACACCATGTTTTGATTTGTGGGATGAGCTGTCTGCAAATTAGGGGGAAAATGCCGTTTCATAACTTTGTTTTCTTGCAATCAATACAGTTTTCGATCCTTCTAGTTTAAATATCTTCATCACATCTTCAAATGTGTCTTCTTCTCCATCTTCTTCCAGTCACTTTTGTTCAGGTGTTTTCCAGCCTTACCTCCACTATCATGTCCACTGCCCAGCTCTGAGCTCTGCATCTAGCCCCCTTTCCCTCAAATCCACTAATGATATCTATCTTTACAAACCCAAGTTGGCACCAGTTAGTAACAGTACAATACCATGACTCATAAAGGCCCCACTTCCATTTTCATACCTCATACTTTCCCCTCCAGTTGATGCACATACCTTGCAATGATCTTCCTCTGTCTTCTCTGGA